CACACACACACACACACACACACACACACACACACACACACACACACGGAAAAGGAAAGGCAAATTGGAGGTGTGGCTCAGTTGGTAGAATGTTTACCTAACATGCACAAAGCCCTGTGTGAGCCGGACATGGTGTCATGTGCCTATAATCGAAGTCCTGAGGACAGGGACTGGGGTTGGCACAGGAGACAGGTCAAGCTCATCCTCACTTACACTGAGTCTGAGCCAGTCTGGCCTGCGTGAAAGAAGGAACAGATAGTGTCTGAGTTCTATATAGGGCAAGAACATCCTGATAAAGATGTCTTAAGATGAGTGGTATACCATGTTGGAATGTGCTGTGGTTTTCATTAAAAATCTACTGATTTTCACAATGGGAGAACATGTTATTCACATGACTGACTAGTTAGTCTGTTGCTTCACTAGTTATCAGATTGGATTGTCTGCTTGCTTTTTTATACCTGGTAAGTAGGTAGCTGCTGCCTGCAGAAGTGGCCATTGTGTCCTCATATGAATTAGTTTTAGAATGGCCTTTTAAATTTGGTAAAATAGATATTTCAAGGATAATTAACACTTTTTGTTTTGCTTGCTATATAACTATAAATCAGTAACATCTGATGGGAATTATTTTTTCAAGTTCTCTTGTATACCCTTTAAATGGTTTTTCCCCTTCATAGACGGGATTCTCCAAGGAAAAATCAGATTGTTTTTGACAACAGGTCCTATGATTCATTACACAGGTATCATCCTGCTGTGACTTTGTGATTTCAGACTTTTCAATAACATGTCCAGGATAGGGCTGAGCTTTTTCTACCTGGATTGGTAATCACCACAAGGGAGACATTTAGGAGGATTGAGGTTTTCTGTTTTAGAAGAAGTTTGACACTTAAAGTAGAACCCTGCTATCGTTTGATAGTTGGATTCAGAAGTGCTGGAATGAAGAGTAAAAATCATCTCTTACATTGTCTAGTTGGGAGTTTTAGCATTTTCTTTTAAGGCTGTTCTCATCATGATTATGTGACAAGGCTTTTTAAAAATGGAATTTAAGGTCCTGTGCTTATTTTGCTAGAACACAGGATAGAATTGTAGCCATAGGTAAAGCTGCTTAGAGTACAATCTCTGTTTCCTTGATGTAGTGAAATGAGTGTCTTTAACAGTTTTGTATCTGACATCCTGAGTATATTGTTTCTAGATCAACTCAAACCTTGAGGTATTAAACATACAGGTATGGGAGAAGGTCAGGTCCTTAGCACACCTACAGCTTAGGTTCCATCATTAGCATTGCCCCCAACACCTCTAAAAGGCTGGCGAGCAGTATCAATCACCAATTTCTTTCTTAACTGAAAAAGGGCAAATTTTTAAAAGTCTGCAGATACTTTTCAGCTATTTGCAGAATTAATTTGAAAGAATAGGAAGTTAAATATTGTGGTATAATTATTTTATAGGCAGATGTCTAGGTAATGCTCTCTTAAAGCTAAAAACAAAAAACAACAAAAAATGTGTAGCCAGGTGATACTGGTGCATGCCTTTAATCCCAGCACTCAGGAGGCACAGACAGGTGGATCTCTGTGAGTTTGAGGCCAGCCTAGTCTACAGAATGAGTTTCAGGACAGCAAGAAACCCTGTATTGAAAAACCAAGAATAAAAGAAAAAAGGAAAGAAAAGGGGAAAAAAAGAAAGAAAGAAAGAAAGAAAGAAAGAAAGAAAGAAAGAAAGAAAGAAAGAAAGAAAACCCACGTATTTAAACATCTAATAAACTCAGGTTATTCACAGTTAAAGTGAAAACTCATAAGTTAAAAGTAACAGACATATAAAGGAACATGGGAACATATACCTGTAATCTCAACCCTCAGGATACTGAAGCAGGGTTATGAAGTAAGGGTATCCAGGACTACATAGTGAGACCTCATCTCAGATAAATGATTGAACACATAAACCGCTGAAATATGTGTATTTTATTAGAAATATATTAACAGGCACAGTGGCATAGTCCTAGCACACTGGAGGCAAAACCAGGATCTCTGTGAGTTTGAGGCCAGCCTGAGCTATATAGAGAGTCTCAAGACATCCAGGGCTACATAGAGAGATATGTTCAAAAAAAGAAAGAAAGAAAGAAAGAAAGAAAGAAAGAAAGAAAGAAAGAAATTAACATTATAGTTTTTTAATCCACATCAGGTAATACACATCCTTTTTTATGAACATTTACTAAAAACATGAATTAAGTAGTCTATAGAGAGGCTATCTATGTCTGTAATTGGACTCCGATCAGATTCTTATTTGCTAAAATTTTTTTTATCCCACTGGCAACCAAAATATTTGGCAGATTTATTTTACTGACTAGTTAATTTTCCATAAATGTCCAGGCTTTTTATTTGTCTCTTTGAGGTAGGCTAATTGTTCTGAACAAAAGGTTTATTAGGAAAATCTGCTGGAACATAGAAAAACAAACAGTACCTTACAACAAAATCATCTAAATCGCATTACTGCTACTCACACCTGGTGCCAGAATAATGTACATTTTTTTAAAAAGAAAAAAGAAGCTGGGCAGTGGTGGTGCACGCCTTTAATCCCAGCACTTGGGAGGCATAGGCAGGTGGATTTCTGAGTTCCAGGACAGCCAGGGCTACACAGAGAAAACCTGTCTCAAAAAACCAAAAAAAAAAAAAAAGAAAGAAAAAAGTGGTGATTGCTTCTTTCCTTCAGTATGAAAAGTTCCCCCCTTGAGTCAGTTCTCATGGTGGTGGTGGTGGTGATGGATTGCATGGTAGCATGAATTAATTTTTTTAATTGCATGTTTGCACAGTTGTTTATTAACATTTTAGATTGTTTAATAAATACAGATATGTTTATATACAATAGCAAATTTCTTCATTAAGTAGCAGATTGTACCTGTTTGTTTGAATGTCAGAAATATTCATTATTTATCTTAGGGGGAAAAAATCACTAACTGACCTCAAATGTGAAAAATAAAAGCAGGTTATTAATAATTGAATTCTGGAAAGCAGAAATAATTAACAAGTATAAAATGCAGTATCCCAACCCTTAAAAATATTTACTGCACCTAACTACACAGTAGACTGGATCTGGAATCATAAATGACTACAGTTAAGTAGGCAGTTCTTTATATAAATCCTCAGGATTTACTAAACCAAGTTTTTGGAAGTTACTGTATAAGCAGATACCTTGTTTCATAATAAGCTTTTTAAGCAGTAATATGTTTTGATATTAAAGCAAATTAAGCATTTCATCTTCATGAACAGTGCCTTTGGGTTTGAAGTATTACATCTTATATGGATTATGAAATACAATTTTATAGCCAGTTTACACGTGTTGGATCTTGCTTCAGACACATTTCTAACATTAGTACTCTGCAAAATTGATATGATTGACTATTGGTTTATAGAATGGTTATTGTTCTAAACCAGAAAATGAAGACGTGAACGACTGAAGTTTTAGGTTTCCTACTGAGAATTTTCTCTTATTTCCAGGATTGAAGGGGGAACTGTGACTGATTGATTTGGTGTTGGAACTTATCAAATATGCCTAATCCCTAGCACTTATTTTACTGTGTAAAAATTTTAATAGAAGCTACATTTTTGAAAGTTCAATTGTAATTGGCAGACAGCTTCTGTCTTAGAATTTCTCATTTTTTGTTTTTATTCCATTTTCTTCCTCTTCAAAGCAGAGGGAAGTTAGAGTCAATTAGATATGAGAGTATGCTTCTAACCCAATAGTCAGTTTTCAGCTTTTTATCTAAATACTTAAAATGGAAGCAAACAGGCTAAGAAATTAGGCTTATGAAATTATTTCTTCCTAAAAAAATGAGGCTCAGAACTTACAAGCTGATCTGTGTTAAATATTTAAGACAGTAGAGCTTTTCCTTTATTGATCTGCTTGATATTTAATATATAATATAGTATTTCAGAAGCAGCAAACATTACTGTGTTGTATGGGCCTTGAGGGTTTCAACTGGTCGCTTTGTCGTGTCTATGGTCAGCATGCTGTGTGTCCTCTGGTACCAGGGAGTGCTGTTTTCTCTCTTCATAAAGGAATTTCACCATATTGTCTCCCTTGTCCCCTTTTAATATAGATGATTAAATTGAGAAAGTAAAAGACATTTTCTGCTGCCTGTTCCAATCATTCCTGACATTTTGACAAAATGTGCTTAAGAAATGAATTTAAATCTGGCTTTGAGATGGCAAATTTATAGTTACTTACAAGCTCATTAAATGTTATAAATATAATTTATCTGTCCTGGAAATTTCTTTTGTACAGACCCAAATCCACACCTTCATCACAGCCTAGTGCCAATGGAGTCCAGACAGAAGGACTTGACTATGACAGGCTGAAGCAGGTGGGTACTCAGTTTTAGCTTTCTTTAAACTTTTTCGGGGTGGGGAGCAGGGAGGGGATAGGGAACCTTACTCCTATAATTCCACATGGGTCCTGGGAGTACTCTGAAAGTTCACACAGGCACAGATATTTTAGATAAACTAAGCCGTGGCCATAGTTGTCCATATGGTGCATCTCCGCTCCTTTCTGGTTCATTGAGCTCCCTTTAAATTCTAGCAGCAGGAGAAAGCATAGCTTAAATGTAAGGGCAGGGCTTGCAATTATAATATCAGTGGGCTTCTACCTTTTGTTAGCATATTAGCAAAACCAGACCAGACAAGTCTGAACAAATGTGATTCTGGCAAGGATGTAGGGAATGGTCATCCTCACACACTTAAGATTTCTAAGAAGCAGTTTGGGAAGTAAAGCTTTGACTTCTGACCAGCGATTGAATATGAAGTGATTTATAACAATAGATTGGTGCAAAAGTAAAGGAATTTTAACAGATTAATAGTCATTGACCTCATTCATACATGAAAAGCTTTTTCTTTAATGAATTTTAGAAGAGAATTTAAATTCTTCCTGAAGTGAACAGCATAGCGCTCATACAACTTAAAGAGTAATTCCTCCAAAGGTAGCTGTTGTTTTTCACCAGTCATTGTCCTCTTAAATTTAAGTCTACAATTAAACCTACAATTCCTTTTTTTTTTTAAGATTTATTTATTTTATTTATATGAGTACACTGTCACTATCTTCAGACACACCAGAAGAGGGCATCAGATCCCATTACAGATGGTTGTGAGCCACCATGTGGTTACTGGGAATTGAACTCAGGACTTCTGGAAGAGGAGTCAGCACTCTTAACCACTGAGCCATCTCTCCAGCCCTAAACCTACCATTCTTGATGGAAGACACAGCATCACACACACACAAACACACAATGACAGTCTCATTAAAAAAAAAAAAAAAGAAAAAAAGAACAGGTGAGGCTAGAGAGATGGCTCTGTAGTTAAGACCATCTGATGCTATGACAGAAGACCCAGATCCACTTCCCAACACCCACATAGTCTCTTACAGCCATCCAGTTTCAGGCACCAGGCACACATGTGATACACATAAGTTAAATATATGCTCAGTGGTCTGATATTTTAATGAATTGTTTCATTTAGTGAATTATTTCTGCTCTCAGAGGCCAGAAGGGAGCATCAGATCCCCTAGAACTAAGTTCAGAGGATTGCGGGCAGCTATCTGGAAGTAAATCTGGGTCCTCTGTAAGAACCAGCAGCCCCCACACTATTTTTTAATGTTAAGTCTGAAATCTGTTGCATGATTTGCACTCACAATCCATCTCATTTCAGACTAACTTCATTTTAAGAGCTCAGCAGCTATGTGTGGCTGGTGCCTGCTCTGTTAGGTACTTGAAGTAGGGCTTGGCAGCTGTGGTGCTAAAAAGTTGCTATGCTTCAAGTGTGGTGACAGATTTACCAAGAGTCCAGTCACCTCTTCCTTGAAACTTTTGTGTGTATCACCTCTCAGGAAGCTGCCAGAGGACTGAGCATTACAGGCATCAGAATTATACTTCTCTGAATGACAGAGCTGGCTGTTAAAGTTCTAGTCTTTCTATCTCATATCTTAATAGGCCAGAATAAGCAAAGATGGGTAAGGAAGAAATAATGTAAACAGAATTTACCAAGGCCAGTTCTATTCTAAGAAATAGAATTGGAACTGTGGAATCAAGTGTCAGGGTGTAGGGACTCTGAGGAGATCAGCAGCAGTGTGCTCACTTGTGGATGAGCATAAGGATCTGAGCTTGACCCCTGGAGCCCAGGAAGCCAGGGTCAAGCATATAGTGTCCTCGGCTCACTGGCCACCTAGCCTGGCCTATAGATGAGTTCTACCAAATAAGGGTTTGCCGTACAAGAGGGAGTTGGGGCCTTGCACTTGTAGAATAATATCCAAGACTCCTAGGCACATACACATAGAAGAACTGTATGTTGTGATGTTCTCTTAACATTTATCTGAACAAGAAACTTCTTAGGCATCACTTTGTTTTTGTTTTGTTTCCTGGTGTTTTCTCTTGATACTTCAGGACATTTTAGATGAAATGAGAAAAGAACTAGCAAAGCTGAAGGAGGAGCTTATTGATGGTGAGTACCTGGCACATGGCTCCCTGTAGTCGGCTATAAAAATGGCTTTACACTCACTCCTGCTGGGGTCTAGACTTTGCTTAGGGTGTTGGAATGCTGCTATTTTCTTACGATTGGAGGTATTTGTGAGAATGAAAATAAACAGATTTCTAAGTGTGAAGTGTAGAATTTGGTGGAATACCAATCAGGCAGATTTTTCTCTGAGGTAAATCTCTCTACCGTCCATTTCACTGCACTGCCCTTGTTTTGGAGCCCAGAGAACTGGTGCTTTTGTCTTCATTCTACAAGGGAGGGGGTAAGTGAATATAGCCATGTGTGATTAGTGTCTTTATGGATTAAAGATCTATATGGTGAAGATTTAAATTCTATATATTTTTGTGAGGGAGTTTGAACACAACCTTGAAGATTCTCAGGAATGACTCGAGCATCTGTGTCTCCCTTCTGGTGTATTGACCTTGAAAACTGTTTCTTCCCTGTTGTAGCAATCAGGCAGGAACTGAGCAAGTCGAACACTGCATAAAGAAGCAAACTAAGGAGGGACAGGACTTGAATCTGGAGAAAAACAAAAATTCCTACAAACAACTGTTAACAACCCCCAAAACTTTTAAGCTGTAAGAAGAAAATGGATACACAGGAGGGAAAAACCGCCAACCTCTGAAAGCCTTCAGACATAGTGACTCTGGCAATCAGCTGTCCCCTCCAGTGTGCTGCTTCTATTCTGACCTTTACCACAGGATGGAGAATTGTATTTGAGTTCCCTTAGCAGTACTAAATCCGTCAGGCAAGATCACCGTGCATTGAAATATTTTCATGTCTGGATGAGTCTGCACGTTTTCCATAATCCATTGCTAAAATAAAGATGAGAAAGGCTTAAGAGGCTTTTTTCCAGAGGGCGCTGATGAAGAATTTGATTTAGTAAGTTCTGCTGTTGCATTGTACATGTTTCTCTCAGGTTTGTCTTCCTATCATATTTGATATTCTGTGAACAGTTAAGATCATAAAGTATGGAACAAACGGAATTGTATGTGCTTTCAAAGGGTGGTATTTATAAGAAAGGTCCTAAAATACTTAGTCCCACTTGAGGGATTTTAGAATGATAGGAACTCTCTCGGGTTAGCCTTCATGCAATTTTGTAGTTTAAAACATAAAGCTTGTCCAGAAAGTAAAGATTTAGATGCCTTCCTAAATTGTTACAATGCTTTACCAAATCTATAACTTCTATATAACAAACAGTGATCAAATGTAAAACATTCTATTATAGATTTACTGTAGGTTTTCAACCTTTTTTAGACATATGCATGTGGACATTTTTATAATGTAATTGCAATCACCACAAAGTTAGCTTTTTTTAATTACAGACAATAATGCATGTCACACTAATATGTAGTGGCCTTTTCAAGGCCTAGTCCCAGGGAAAATATTTTGTAGAATGTATAGGGAAGTGGGAGGAAGGGAAGGAATAATTTTTTTATTTAAAGTTAATTTCTGCACTATCTTTTTTTTCTCAATTATCTGCATGAATTATAATGAGAAATATTTTGTGACTTTAATCAGTAAACATGTTAACAAAACCAAGAACTTAATCTTTTACATCATGTCTTCAGCTATTTTAACTAGTAATTTCAATGGTCTGAAACATGGTTCTGAGCTTCACATGAATTACACTGTGGAACTCAAAAAGTTTGATCACTGAATTTGGCTGTTATTATCACTAGGTCCCCCACAGTGCTGCAGGTATTTGGGTACATGCTTCTGACTTTGAAGCTGCTCTTGACCTTTGTTGTGCTAAAATACAAGAAATATCAATAATGGCAGCAACCAGGGTCACAGAAATCACTAGGTAAAGGAAACCAATGAGTTCTGCAGTTTTCTTTTAATCAAACTAAAGTGAGGCTTCAGTGGTAGGAAATGTCTGATGCTGTTACACCCTGAGTGTGTGTGTCTGTCTCTGTGTGTGCACACGTGTGATAGATATGTTCCACCCCTTGATGGAAATTTATAATTGGCAAGATTAAAATAAGGGAGAAATTCTATATGTTGTAATGTTTGCTTTCGGGAAAATCTAGGAAATCAAAATTTCTCCAAGCTCTCCATCATGATTTATGCCTGAGTTATTAATGTGCCATATTTGCTTTGGAATCTTTGTTATCAAAACTTCTACTAAAAAAATAGAAGAAACAATCCACTTTTCCTTTGCTTTCTAGCTGTAAGCAAAGCTTGATGAGAGTTCTTTTCTAAATACTGCAGTTTGCAATGAACACCACTGCGTAGACATTTGAATTGAGGGGCTTTGTTGGGAGTTTCTGTAGAAACTTCATCTTTAGATTAGAGTGTAAGAGATGAGCGATCATAATTCAACTCTGTGGCTCTTTTCCTACCCATTATTCGTTGTCTTGCAGTAATAGTAAAGGCATTAAAGATGCAGCAAGCGTGTACACTGTTCTCTAAAAGAAGTAGGCATCTCATTTACTGTTGAACGTTTGATTATGCAACTACTTTGATCATGTAAATGTGTACATCCCTTACAAATCTGATCAGACATCACTTTTCATTTTGTTGCTAAAGTTTAAGTAGTCTGTAGTAGGTAGAGTACTGGTCCAAAGTGAGACAAAATGTAAAGTCAGACGCTAAGTCCTAGAAGAAGCTGGCTTACGTACTGAACGTTTTGTGCCTTGGTCTTATATTTAACACAATGTCTGTAAAATGACCAAAAAAAAAAAAAGCGCCGATGTTGACTCATGCTGTATCTGTATCCTCCATGATAGTATGTTATCCCACATGACTAAATGTGCTTCTCCCTAGAAGCTTAAATGGATTCTTCTACACACCCACTGTCATACAGGACAGTCATGTCATCGTTAGAGATTTCAGTGACTACAATGGGAAACAAGCTTGAGTTATTTTCCTAAAACTGTTCCTTGGAACCTTATTGTGATGATGAGTTCTTGCTTCTGTGTGTTGAACGTCTTCAGCTGAGCACAGTTTAGGGATCCTCTCTGATGACAGGAAGGCACCGCTCTCCTCAACACTGTGATCTGACCTGCGACAACTCTACAATACACTCTGTGAATGGCTAGCAAGTCAATAGCAAACAAATTGAATGTACAAACTTTAGTGTGGTGCTGAAATCTCTTCAGAATAGTAACCATGATCTCAAAGCCTGTTTAAAAATTTACAAGCATAATGTGTCAATCAGAACTAAAGATGAAACACTGATGAATGTTCAATTCTCATGCTGCAGGCGTGTTTCCTGTTTAGGTTTTAAGTTCTCTGCTGTTTCTACCATAACTGTTCCATTTAAATCTCCTACACGCTAATTCATTGTGTGATTGAAATAAAATTACAGTCTATCCATGTTTCCTGTCTGTGACACTTAGAAGACCTTCTGAAGTAATGTGTTAATTCTCAACCAAGTGACACTGGGCGTGAAGCCAGCACCTTACAAAGCCCAAGGCTTCACTGGTTACAGTGTAAACGTCACGCATGTCACTGTTCTTTAAAGAGTTCATCCAGGTCAGGAATAGTAAATAACGCAAAGGGAACATGTAATGATGTAGCTACCTTTTGTTTTGCAGAAAGCGCTGTGTGCTCCTCTGTCTTACAGTCTCTCAGCACAACTTAACAAGTTGTCTTTTGTAGTCAAGATGGTAAAAAGTGCTTTATTCCATTTTTTTGTTCTATAATACAATCATACATATACATTTCACCTCATTTACACAGTTCATTTTTTCTTTATGTAATTTGCTTATTAAGGGATATTGCCAAGTAATTAACTTTAAATGTAGCAGTCTGTACCATCTACAATGATCTCTTTAAGTTAGCTTTATGTGTATAAGCCTCAGCACCTTTATCTATTATAAAGTTTCATTTTCAAACTATAATGTCTTCATTAGAAGTACAACAGTTGTGTGTGTGTGTGTGTGTGTGTGTGTGTATTTTTCTCCTCTTTACCAGACCCCAGCCTCTATCTCAAGTACTTCCTGTTCCTGGCACTAATTTGCATTTGCAACCATTATGTTGCCCACTCTTGTGAAAATGCCAGCTGATTTTTCTTTTTGTCCTAACTTACACTCCTGCTTTATCTATAAATTAAAGTCACTTAAATTCAAAAATGAATTAAGCAGCAAGTGCTAAGCTTTTCTGTTTGCCTGGCTAAAATTACTATGTCTTAGCTTTTCCCCATCTTTTCAGTGATGCTATGAAGAACTCGTGTTTTTATTATTCGGGGCTAGCAAAGGCGAGCTGCAGGACCTGTGTAATTTCTTGTCGCCGTGAGAATTGTTTAAGCCCTTTACCATGGTCTCTGATCCTATGGACATGCCTGTAATCCAGCGTCCTGGAGACAGAAACAGGATTGTGGATCTGAGGTCAGGCTGGGATGCATAGAGAAACTTTGTCTAAAACAAATCAGTAAAATCCTATGGGTCCTAAGTATAAAAATGATACCCTATAATGCAGAGGGTGAAGGAACTCAAGTAAGATGAACAAAAAATGCAGAGTGTAAAGGAGTTGCCTGTCCCTTTATCACGCTAGGAACCTACTTCTAAAGACAGTCTAGTTTTCACTTCCAAACTCAGACCGTTCCTGGTAGTGCCACTTTTGTTTTAATAGAATTGGTACCTGATCATCTCCACAGAGCTCTGAGAAACACAAAAGGATCCTAAGAATTTACTGGAGTTGATACCTCTGACTCTTTGGTGAGAGCCATTTACTGTTTTATAAATTCGGTTCCTTTTTTTGAAGTCAAAACTTGTTGTATTTTAAGGATTCTGGCGCTGGGCAGTGGTGGTGCACGCCTTTAATCCCAGCACTAGGGAGGCAGAGGCAGGTAGATTTCTGAGTTTGAGGCTAGCCTGGTCTACAGAATGAGTTCCAGGACAGCCAGGGCTACACAGAGAAACCCTGTCTGGAAAAACTAAAAAAAAAAAAAAAAGACTGTCATAAGGAATCTGACTAAACAGTTATTCTGGTCAGTACTTTATGTGAAGATCCTGGAGAACATGTACTTACAGAAATTGTTTTTTGTTAAGCATACACCTGTTTGAAACTAAAATTAGCAATCTCTTAAGCCATTTATTTATGCCAAATATTCTTGGGGTTGAAGATGAGGATATGTTATAGTCTTTCTGATCCCAACATCAAAATAGGCTGTGGACTAAGTTTTGTTCCCTTATGTTACTTAACTTTTGTTAAGTTTACCTTGATGGTTTTTGAAGTACCAAGATTCTTTTTAAAGCCTCTTTGTGGGAGAATGTGAGTGTGTGCATGTAGAAACCAGTGTTCAACCTTGACATCCACCCACCTCCTTTGAGACAGGGTCACAAATTCAGCTAGACCTGCTGGCCAGTGCACCTCAGGAGCCCTCTAGTCTCTGCCTCTTGGTGCTGGGTTTACTAGCTTGTACTACCACACCCAGCATGGGTTCTGGGATCTAACTGGTGACCATGTGCTTGCAATGGAGGCACTTTTCCAATTTAGCTAGCTTTCTACCCATGCCCTCTTTGTTTTTTTTTTTTTTAATCTTAATATTGGAACAATGAAACATTCAAAATGTAAACCGTAAGGTTGATTAGTTGATTGGAAAAGAAAGTAAAATGATATAGTAAATTAATAGGGTTACAGACGGACCTTCTATCAGTACTATACTAATGAATAGTCACCTCACATAAGGAAAATTGGACTTTTAGATAAAGTGAATTTGAAAATTGTTGAAGTGTGAACTGTGTTAATTTGTAAAGCAACAGTCACTGTGAAAGGGGAAAAAGTGACTTGGTCATTGTGACTCTAAAAAGAATTCTCTACGATCATTGATTATATCTTGAAATCTAAAGATACGGATCATGTGAGGAGGAGAGGGTTTGGGAAATGGCTTTTTCCTTCTGTTTAGATGCTCTATTGTAGAAACCCCCTGAGCCCCTGTGGGTTTCCAGTGCTTGCTCACTAACATGCAGAATAGATGGAAACTGAAGCTTTGGTTAAGTGTTTGAACCAGAGATCAGTCTCTGAACCCTAGTTTGAAGCTTACCCGGTATTCCAAGAAAGAGCTTCTAGAAGTTTCTGGTGTAGAGCCCCAGGATTCCTGGATAAAGGAGGACCTCGATCAGGACCCAAGGAAGAGCTGAGAGGGAGCTGAGTACTTGACTCACTTGAATTAGGAAACTGGAGAGTATTGAGTTCATGACTAAATTCAGCCTTTTCTAAATATAAATTAAGCTGAGAGAGAACAGGGCTTTCTCTTTTAATAAAAATTAGAAATATCCATGTGCTTCATTAAAGAGCTGTTTGTCAGGGACAATCTCCATTTATTCTGTAAATCTGTTTTAACTGTTCCCTTTTGATTCCAGGAAGATTTCTTTAGCAGTAGATAACAAACTCCTTCAAAGAAAAATTAAGTGTCTAATATAGGCAGTGAATGATGTTGCCAGTAGATACGGTGTTAGCCAGTGGTGGTGTCACAAAGGAAATGATACCCCAAAGGAAAGAAGTGCACAGAGATTCTAGCTCTGGGATACATCTCAGTCATGGTAGGATTGCATAGTATGTGTGAAGATTGATCCCTAGCACTGAAAATCAAAATGCAGTTTTAATCATGAAGTAAATGTAACACAGGAACCTTTTTAAAGTACCTACAAAACGCCTGAAATTCAGTGTTCTTTAGTCAGTTTTGTCTGCACAGCCTTCCTTTAAAATTTTTGTTGCTTTTATTTGTTTGTTTTTTAAGATTTTAA